CCCAGGACAATCACCCGGTCGGGTGAGGTATTGCACCCGGTCGGGTGAGAAATTTAAATGCGAAACTGCTCAGGAAATTACATCACCCGGTCGGGTGAGGTATTTCACCCGGTCGGGTCCGACTTGACCCGGAACACCAGAACGTGCCGAAGATCGCCAGAACGTGGAGGATATTTGATTTTGACATGCACCCGGTCGGGTGGACACTTTACCCGGTCGGGTACCCGGCCAAAGGTGTTGAAAAACACCTATAAATAGCCCCATTTTCCTTCACTTTTAATCATCCCTTCTTCCATACTCTTAAGCTCAGTTTAGAATAGTATTTCTTTTATATTTTTATAGCATGTTTAGTCTCCAAATGAGGAGCTAAACTCTTCCATCTTGGTTTTGCTCCTTTGAAGCTTAATGAATTTGTAAGTTGTGAGTTATTATCTTTAATCTTCTTCCTTGAATATTAATTCTTTCTTTAAATACTATTTCTATATCAATGTTCGGGAGTGTTACTAAGATGACAATTAGTTAACATCTTGACATTAGTTATAGTAATAGTTATTTCTTCCTCTACGTTAATATCGGGGAGTGTTACTAAGATGACAATTAGTTAACATCTTGATATTAACTATAGTAGGATTCATCTTCTTTAATATTCTTTCTTGAGTATTAATTAATTCCTATTCATATTTCATATTAATATTTTGAACATTACTTAAAGGATCAACTAGTTTTGTTTCATATATTAATTATTACTAGAATCAATCGGTTAATACGCTTGTTATTAATTCGGTTCTTTCAATGGTAGTAAACTTGGGTTGTTAATGCATGCTTCTCATGATTAATAAGCCAAGGGGAATTAATTATATTGATTAAACCAATAAACCGCTTGTGTTGAGGTTATCAATCTCAATCGTTTTCATCTTGATTTTATTGCTACTATCAAGTTAATATACGGCGCTTGTTCTATATTGACTCGGTAGTAAGTTTTATTAATGAACGCGTCTCGTTATTAATAACTACCCTCGATGAACTGGATATACTCCTCGATTGAATATTCGAGAGGAAGATAGTTAAAGATATAACCGGGATCGACGAACATTTCATTAAGTGGATAAAAGCAAAACCAAGTCTTCTTCTCATTAATTAAACCACATAACTCGTTCATCTTCGTGTTTAATTTATTAAACCAAATCAAACTAAAGCCCCCCATTTTGTTACTAGTTCTATAAAAAAGAAAAGTATTCCTTTCCCTGTGGATACGAACCTTACTACGCTATACTACGTATAAGTGTTGTATTGTATTATTATTTTGAGTGCACCTCACGACAAGTGCACGTCAAATGTACATCCAAGGAGAAGTGTTATCTAATTATGTGGATGTCCATTAACTTACGGGGCTACATGTATTGGCCCATGACCATGTATGTAACCCTAGCACCCCTTCCCCTATATATATGGTTATATGTGAATGAATGAAATGCTTTTAATTCTCGATTAATAACATGTTCAATTTTTTTACAAGGATGTAAAACTAAATGTACAATTACATAGACTAAATACATATTTAAACCTTATATATAACGTGATGTACATATTTTACGCACACTTTAGATTTTGTATAAAACCATTCATTTTAAATATTTATTTTTTGTATCAAACAATTAAATTGCATTTATAAAGAACGAAAATATTACCGTCTTTCCCTTGTTAAAGAAATATACCCTTCGATACTACTCAGAATTAAATATTTCATTCCTAATATAAACGTATAAATAGTTAAAAAGTATGTGGTATTTTTTTTTATACGGAAAGAAAAAAGTACATAGTATACGTATGTTAATTACTATTGAAGTTGGGATCCCCATATTCTTAGGTTCTTTTTTTAGAGTGTAATTTGCTGGTCTGAACTATTTAGGCCTGCCCTGATCTAATCTGATCTGGTCTAAATTGGTCTCGTAAATGTCCAAATCTGGTCTGATTTGTGTATTTTATAACTGTCCAAATATGGTTATTTTAGTCAGATATGTTTAAATCTGGTATGAACTGCTTAAGTCTAGTTTAGTATGATTTGATCTGCGACTAAGGATGTTTTCTTTTGGACTGAAATTTGCTGGTCTGGTCTGGTCTGGTCTGGTCTGATCTGGTCTGGTCTGGTCTGGTCTGAACTAGTCTGGTCTGGTAAACGTCTGGTCTCTGTGTATTTTATAACTACGGAAGTCTGGTCTAGTCTGATCTGGTCTGGTCTGGTCTGATCTGGTCTGATCTGATCTGGTCTAGTCTGGTCTGGGACTGAAAACAGTCCAAAAGAAAACATCCTAAAACCGTCCAAAAAAACATCTTCTTAATGGAAAATAGAGACACAAATTAAATACCGAGTATAGAGAACGACTTTTGAATGGAAAGAATATCTATTGGAATAAAACGTTCAGATTTGGAAGGAAATAAATTTGCGTGGAGAAATATATATGTTTATTCGTAGATCACATAATTTATTATTCCTATCATTCAAACACGTACTAATAAATTGTATGTAAAATATAATCCGTATAAATCTTACTTTTAATCAAAAAGTAGAAATAATGGCACGCATGTTATCTCCAAGGTTCTATTAGACATAAATGTGAGTCAATTTCATTTTGACCGAAAAGTAACCTTCCCCTTTCTCCTTTTCTCTAAATGTCGCTCAGCTTCTTATCTCCCTTTCTTCTTCATACCTTCTGCGCACGAACCAACCCCATGACAGAGAAGGCTTCGAGACACAAAGAAGGACAAATCCGCTGCCTTGAGCTCTGTTGCCGCCATGAGCGAAGCGACCGCCTCGAGCTCTGCTGCCGCCATGGATGAAGCCACCTCCTCGAGCTCTGCTTCCGCCATGGCTGAATCCACCGATTCGAGCTCTGCTGCCACCATGGATGAAGCCACCGCCTCGAGCTCCGCTGTCGCACATCCGGTCGCTTGCCTCCACGTACTCATATCTTCTTCTCCTTTCTTCAATCGGCCGGATCTCTATCAGATCTGAACTCTGAAGGATTGTGGCCGCTAGACTTTCAGATCTGAAGGTTGAACATGGTTGAGCGGTGGTGAGGCAGTGGTTGGGTGCGGCCAGAAATTGATCGGAGTGGGGTGGGATAGTGGTTGTGGAAGGACTGGTGGGTGGGGCAGTGATTGAAGCTGTGGTGTGGGGTCGGTGGTCGCTGGGGGTTGTGGCCGGTGGGGTTAGGCGGTGGTCACTGGTGGGTTGTGGTGGGGCTCCGAGGGCTTGTGGGTTGAGGTGGGGCTGGGGAGAGTGCTGGTGGGTTGAGGTGGGGCTGGGGAGGGGGCTTGTGGGCCGGGGAGCTGCCGGTTTGGTCACAATTAGGGCGGCGACGGTCAGTGGTGGTGGTTGCCAGGTGTATGTGTGCGGGGCTAAATGCTAGTGTGGAGTGGGGTGGCGGTTAGTCGGGCGCGGTGTTGGGGGGACAGCCGTCATTGTGGCGGCCGGCTAAGGCTGTCCGCTTCACTAAACTAAAAACGATCATAGTGACATGGACGGTGGCTACAGTGACACGGGAGGTGGCTGCAGTGACACGGGCGGTGGCTACAGTGACACGGGCGGCGGCTACAGTGACACGGGCGGCGTCTACAGTGACACGGGCGGCGGCTACAGTGACATGAGCGGCGGATACAGTGACATAAAATCTAACAACACTATGTTTTTCTAAATATATGACCTTCTTGATCACTTTTTTGCCCCTTTTTAAAAGCGATCACTTTTTTGATAATTGGTTCAAAATTAGTGATATTCAAATAAAAATCCCCAAAAAGTAATGACGGATATGATTATGATGTTTTATAGTGATCATAATAGTATGTTACAAAAAAGTAGTGATCATAATAGTAACTTAAATAGGCAACACTAGTAGGAAAATGAGCTCTAACGATACTATAATTGACCTATAGAGGCGCTAAAAAGCGTCGGAAGTGTTTTTACCGACACTTATAAAAGTGTTGGCTTTGCTTGTGTCGCTAGACCTTCTTACGACACTTATTCTTAGCATTGGTATAGCATTGTAAAAGCGTTGCTAAATGTGACGCGCTTTTCAACATCCTATTGAGGTACATATATAGCGCCGCAAGAGATATAATTGCACTTTAATATATGCACCTTCAAATTAAATATATTACCATGATCGTAATTTGTATTTTGCCCCTGCTACGAATTTTTGCAATTAATCATATAACATTTATAATAATACTAAGAAACATCTTAATTGCAAAGGAGGGTATATATTGCATCATTCAAACTCTTCAAACTGAAAACAACAAATAAGCGTTCCTTCATTGTTTTAACTCCACGACTAAACTTATACCAAAATATATATTATAGTATCATATCAAAATATCCAAATCAACTTTGAATCCTCCAACTTAGTACGACAATGTAGTTCCTCCAATTATCACTTAAGCAAAAATCTGTAAAAACCAAACAAAAAGCACAATTAGCAATATACAAAAAGATAGTATAAATTTAAAAACAGTAGCAACAACAAATAAAAAAACAATAGCCAAGAATTTCCAGATTAAACTAGTGAAAGAAAGTATTGGAGGTGGACCATGTTTATAAGCTGATTACTAAACTAGTATCAAATAGGTATAATGCTTCTTGAATTGAATGAAATGGTTAGACAAAGTTGTTCTTCATGGAGAGACCCTAGATCACTTAAGTTGTCTCAAATGCTAGTATAAACAATAAAAGAAATTATGCACCATACATGAAAGAAACAGATAGGTAGTATAAAAGATTACTTCATGCACATGTAAAGAAACAGAGAGGTAGTATTAAAGATTACTTCATGCACATGTAAATTAGACTCCATACATGCATATCAAAACACAACACATTTTAACAATCAAGAATCAACATAGCTATATATAGGTAGTTTTAAAGATTACTTCCTGCACATGTAAATTAGACTCCATACATACATATCAAAACACATATAAAACCCAATATATTTTAACAATCAAGAATCAACATAGCTATATATGTAGCTACAATGCTTACAGTTAATTGCAGAATTTTAGCTCTCCTCTGTGGGAAGAAAACACTGGCAGCATATTGGTTGGTGATTAAATTACAACTTATTATATAAAACTCTTTACTTTAGAAAATTATTCATCATTTAAATGAAAGTAAAAATAAAGAACAAACCTCATCAACACCATGTAGCTCTTTAAGCTTGATCCATTCACTACTGATAAGATAAGATAAGATAAAATAAGCTTGATCAGAGATTATTACATTATTTAATTGCTTTAAATATTATCAAAGTAAGCAAATTTATAAGATGAAAAAGATACACTCAGTACCTCATTAATATTTTTCATAACGGACTTAGAGCTTCCTTTTCAACTTCAAAAGACTTATTCTTTTCTTTTTTATATGCTTCCTCATTTTTTGCATTGTCCTGTTCAGCTTTATGATAGTTATTCCTTGCTTTTTGACACGCTTCTTCAATCTTTGCATGGACTGTTTTAGTTGGCGAATATAATACAAAGCCGTTGTTTCATCACTTGAGGACATATGTAAGCCATTACAATATGGTGGGCGTGAGGGGTTTGCAAAATCTGATGGCTTCACACCAAGTCCTAAACCACGAACACGACCATATTGATCTTTACCTAAAACCTTGGAAACCGGATCATCATCTAAGCTCACTTCCTGGTCACCTATCTCAGCAACGATATTCTTAATTTGACTCTACAAAGAATACCAATTAAAGAACTTAGTAGTCAAACTATAAACAAAGGTAATCAAACTATAATCAAATTAACTGATGATAATTTTAATATTCTGCCTTGTTTTGTTTGAGGGGAATTTTCTAACAAAGGTAATTCCGAACATAAGTTTAACTGAAAACCCCATGAAACAGATCTTGAGAAACACTAAAAACAAAAGCTGCAATCAACTGTAACAGTTTGAGTTAATTCAAAAGTAATTTTAAAATTTCATGAGAAATGATATTTAATTATATACATACCGTTATTTCTGCCTCATCATCATGTTGATGACATTCTAAATAAACCTGAGTTCGTGTTGGGCTCTTGTTTAACCGTTGTTTCTACATAAAAAATTAAATACCTCATTAGAATATATTAACTAAAAAAATACACTGACTCATGAAGCCCTCTCTGGATGATGTTTAATACCATCTCCTCACGAACACGAGCATGACTTTTAGTACCAGTGGTAGAAATTGGCTTCGCCTTAGCTTTCTTAAGCGAATCTTTACTAGTTTTGCTTCTCTTCTGCAAAAGCACATCATAAAAGTGATTGCTAAGTCCAAAAAAAGCATTTACACATATATATGTTTGCAGACCTAGGAAACTATTAGATCCTCTACTAAATTAAAATAACATATTTTTAAAATTGAATACCAAGTGAAAAACTGCAGAATTAATTAAATGCAATAAAATAATTAGAAATTTATATTTGTATGCTAATACTAATAACTATACCTGTCCTTCATCTGACTTCCAAAAGTTGACGAGACTAATCCATTGATTCTTTTCCACATCTTCAGGACAGTTATCATGCAATATGGTTATATGTTTATCATCATCATACCACTTTCCTTTCAATAAGCATTTGTAGTCCCTCCATTTGTGTCCAATTGATGCCAGTATCCATTTCTCAAGTGATTTCGGATAAAGAAACCGATCCTAACACACACATGAATAACAACACCAAAAACCAACATATGTAGTTAAAAATACAAAACATAGTGTATTTTAATATGAATGAAAACATTAAGACCATAAAAGTTACCTGAATTACTTTTAATATCATGGTTTGGTTGTTTCGATTGTTGCCTTTCTTCAAGTGATCCCATCTTGTTTAACTTAAGGAGCACAATTTTCCATTCCTTGCAATTGTCCCACAAAAAGTGCCTAATACGCCTCCTTCATCTCCAATGGGTTGGTTCTCTTTATTGACATCAACGACAATACGATTCCCTTCAGATAGATTCCACACTCCTGCTAGAACTGTCTTTCCACGCCTTCGATTACCATGGGAGTCTGATTTCATTTTTCAGCATATACAACATAAATATTGCTTATTGTACAGAATAGTCCAACTAACTCAAAGAGGATAGAAAGGAGGCTGCTTCATATTTTCTACTACAAAATCATCAATACTCCATATAATATAATGCAAACGCATAAAAGTTAGCTCAGGAAGCACTTTTTATACAAATGTCAAAGAAGATAACATGGTTTCAAGCTCCTGTGAGTCTCGAACAAGTAATATGAGTGATGATTGGGGGTGCTTGTTTAACATTTATATGAAAAGTAAATGTAAAATGCATCAATAATATATTTACGAGCAAGAAAATTTTAAAGTACCTTGAATAGTGTACTCGTAGATTCTTCCTTCTGAATTTTCATCTCTAGATTCACTAGAAGTTCCTGTATTTGGAGTCTTAGTACTGGTAGCATGAACATGTTGTTTCTCCTTTGTAGTACCTCCCTCATTAGTAGTCATTCGCAGCTTCTTTTTCTTTCATTTAGCCTCGACCCCGGAGTCATACCCGTCCGGACGACCGTCCTCGCTAACGGACTCCTGCTCCCCGCCTTCAGCCACGGGGTCCACCACATCGAGAGCCATACTGTTTTGCTCCCCCGAATCAGCACCCTCCTCACCAGGGACAGTCGCAACAACACCAGTTTGGGCTTCCCCGGCCTGAACAGTTCCCACGGTGGGGGCCGAGCCAGAACTACCGGAAGTGCTAGTTCCCCCCGAAGAGCGTGAGCCGGAGTCGGAAGTGGAGCCCGAGGAGGAACCCGATGAGCCCGAGCCAGAACTTGACGAGATCTCCATCGAAACCATCACGGCAAGAATTCAAGACAAGAAAAAGAAGCAGAAGATAAAAGTTACCTTAGAGGGATTAGCCAAGCTACGAAGCAGGAGAGGACTTGAAGAGCTGCGGAAATTCGAAGACAAGAGAGCAGAAATTGGGAACCCTAATCCAGAGGGAAAAACCGGCATTTATAGGAGAAACACCGGTGGGGGAGCCAACGGGAGGCTGACGCGTGGCAGGGAGCGTATTCCGGCTCACGCGCCGTGCGTGGGGCGAAAGCGTAATGATGACATCTCCTTGGGAAATGCACCGCCGCTACAGCAGCCATCACCTCGTTTCCTGAACCGTCGACAGCTGTTAAGCACCATGACCACGAGCGTACGCTTCCACCGGATGCGATAAACACAAGTATCAAGACACGAACGTCTACTTTGAGGAGATTCATACTTCCTTATGTCCTGCGCATGCTCAGAACATCAGAAGTGGGGGACTTGTGTTGGGTTAAGGGCCCAAGCCGGGGTCCGGCCCACTAACCCTTCCTTCACCAGACGTAAGTCCAGTCAGACCACAGGGCCAGCCCGCATGCCCATATTCCTTGGGGAGGGACGAACGTCTGAGGTTGGGAGTTTAGGCCCAGCGGCCCATCCCGACGAACGTCTATGCAGGGACAAGGAGCAGGACCACGGGCTACCAGGGGATGACAACGAACGTCCCCATGGCAAGCCTATAGTCATCCGAGGAAATCCAGTCCGCATGGAGAGAATCCACAAGGCCAGGAGACGGACAGCCGAAACCTCTTGGGGATCACTTGGAGCGATCCAGCTCGCTTCCCTGGCGGACGAACGTCCCCATTATTTAGGCGGGAAACCTAGATCCTGGCGGGAAGTGCATTTAATGCTGAAGATTTGGTGGTTGGGACACAAGCGGTCCACAGGCCTCCACGTCAGCATAGCCATCTGCCCATTGGCGGGTATAAATAGAAGCATTTATTTCATTGTAAAGGGTTGGCAACTTTCTATTCTTAGCACTCACACTATAGCATCCTTACTTGCAGCACTTCCACTGCCTTGTAAGACGAACGGCCGACGGAGCCTTAGCGAAAAGTATTGTATTAGGGAGTTATTAAGAGATAATAATACCTAATCACTTACTTGCTACCTTACTGTTTCTTGACCCCTATTATCTGCTTGTTGGGCTAGTTTACTCACACACTCCATTCGAAATCCTTGGGCTTACGTGTTGGACCCGAGGGTTGAAGGAATAAACCTCAACAAGACTTTATGCTTTCTTCCCTTCCATCCAATGCCCTCCAACCAAACATGAACTAACGGTCAAGATACACTAATTGGCTAAGATTTTTTTCATTTAATTGATTTTGATAACTACGTAGAGGTTAAAAAAAATAAAAAAAATGCTAATTAGAACCAAGCCTTTTGTCATATGAGCTGAAGTGGAGCTGAAGGCCTGCTCACTTTATACTATAATATTAGACATTCCCTATACACATAATCAACAGATTTTCAGTAGGCCAGACAATAGTTGAAAAGAGGTTTTATTACCAACGATTTTCTCAACTACAGATCTACCGTATAGTATATGGAAACAATAAAATAAGACGTCAACTGAGTTTATTGAACATCAATAAGATATACTATCAAACAAGATACTACGTATAATTGAACTGTCATGATATCAATTTCATCATAGATTATAGAATGTTTTCGTTAATTGAAAAGGAGGATCCACGCACTTACCTGAAGATTAAAACTCTTTACCGATAGCCGATTTTGTCAAAGTTGAGTTTGATACGAGTTGAGAAGCTTCGACGCCATTGTTGATGCTAAGACAAGGTCCAACGATGAGAGATGTTTGATCGATCTATGCTGATACGGAGGCAGATGCTTTTTGAGATGATTAGGGATTTCCCTTTTTTTAGGAAGAAAGGTGTAGTAACTGTTTCTAAGATCTACTGATAGGTGCAAAGTCATTTTAGATGAAAGTGCTTAAGAAAAGAAATGTTATTATTCGTTAATCATTATTGCTCCTTTCCACGGCGCTTTTTCTTCTTACAATAATTTTGAACTGAAAACTAACTTAAATGGTTTGCTATATTTATTAAAATTGGTCAATATTATTACAGAGGCATTAAATTCAAAATTTGGATTTTTAACTTATATACGAGTAAGGATGTTTTTACTTGGACTGTAATTTGCTGGTCTGGTCTGGTCTGGTCTGATCTGGTCTGGTCTGGTCTGAACTGGTCTGGTCTGGTCTGGTAAGGTCTGATTTCTTTGTATTTTTATAACTATCCAAGTCTGGTCTGGTCTGGTCTGATCTGGTTTGGACTGGTCTGGTCTGGTCTGGGACAAATTACAGTCCAAGTAAAAACATCCTAATATCAACATACTCATTCAATTAAATATTAGTTTATAATTTTTTATTTAATTTAATAAAGACGGAAACGAAAAACTTATTTACATAGTGAGGAGCGCATATTAGAGGCGCTTTTTATAAGCGCATCTAATATAAGAAGAAATATACATGGCCGACACTTTTTAAAAGAGCGCCTCTATTTAAGCGCCCCAAAAAACCTTTTTCCTAGTAGTGCAAGTAGCTATCGTTATATTCAAATTTAATTTACACTTGATTAATACTCCATCCGTCTCTAAATAAACTTCACACTTTCCTTTTCGGGCAGTCGCTAAAAAAACTTCACACTTCAAAACTTTTCTTATTTGGCAAAGAAATCTACATCAAACAGTGCAAAACAGTGCCAAACAGTGTCCAAACAGTGTCAAACAGTGTTTGAACAGTGCAAAACAGTGCACTCTACAGTAAAGTCAAATGAATTTTCTTAATCTGTGTGAAGTCAAACTGTGAACTTTATTCGGGGACGGAGGGAGTATATAATAACATAGTACTAAAAAATTCTATTTAAGAAATTATCCTAGATATGAGTAAAAATATATGTGAAATTCAAAATAAAGTTGTCATGTGTATAGTAAATATTGTCATGTTTTGATATTATCAGAATTTAAACATGATAGTATATTCCAAGTTCTACCATAATTATTAATCTTATTTAAGAATAAAAAATGACAATCCTACTTTGAATTCCAAAACATTTTTTTACTAATATTTCAGAAATGTTTCCATTTTGTTCCGATGATATTTAAGAGAAAAACCTATAAAATCAATCACAATGAATTTGAAATTACCCCTTAAATATCACTGAAATAAAATATAAAAATTTAATTAAAATTACAATGATAGGAACTAAGATATACTTGTATTAAATTAGATTTTTATATGTTACACCTTCATTTCGAGTTAAAAAAAAATGTTACACCTTCATTTCAGTTATGCATTCATCATTTATATCACCGTTATTACCGTATTACGTAGACTGGTCAATAACTTCGTGTATCATCAAAAATGTCCGTCGGGAGTACCTTTATCTCATGATTCTGTGTATATCCTTTCAAACAAGAATGAAATATGGGGTTTTTATTTGAATATTAGTAATTTTGAACCCATTATAAAAAAAGTGAGCACTTTTGAAAAGGGGCAAAAAAGTGATCAAGAAGGTCATATTAATGTCATTCTAATATTTTAATGTCACTATCCTATTTTAATGTCACTATCAAATGTCACTGCCACCACCGCACGTGCCACTGCCGCTTCCGCTCGTGTCACTGTAACTACCGCCCGTGTCACTGTGGCCACCGCCCGTGTCACTGTGGCCACCGCCCGTGTCACTACGGCCACCGCCCGTGTCACTGTAGCCATTCCACAGGCCACATTGCCGCCCACACCACTCAATTACGCTGTCGTACCGCTTCATCCAGTGATAACCGCCTAACCTCACCGGCCCCACGCCCCAGCTTGCACCATCCCCAACGCTGGTAGCCACCATACCCAAGCCCCTGCCCCACCATACCCCTCCCCTACCTCCCCCAGCCCCCATCTCACCCAGCCCCCTCTCTACATCACCCCAGCTCCCTCCCCTACGTCACCCCAACCCCCTGCCTCACCCAACACTTGGTGGCTTCCTCTCCCGTTGGAAAACGTGGAGAGTCTTGCTGCAGTCTGATGGCAGATCCGAAGGTCAAACCTCCAACACCACAACTTTAATTTCATCTCCGGCGAGAGAATCAGTCCGCTGACGTTAATCTTACTCCGGCGGCGCCTCTTCCTCCAGCGTGGAAACTCTACAACAGAAATACGGCGTGCTGATCTTACTCCATCGACGATGATAGTGAGGGGAACGGAGATGTCACGGTAGATGCAGAAATTGGGAGATCGAGAATAAAAATTTCAGTTCGTGTTTGCAATTCAAAACCCTAACATCAATTATCAACGATGTCTTTGTTGATTCCATCAAGTATCGGTGATGTAGAGCAGGAGAACGATGAAGTAATTAAGTCACCAATGATGGCAGATTGGTAGAGATGAGCAGCGAAGAAGAAAGGATGCGGGCGGCGGACTTGGGCGTTGGTGCTTCAGCGACGAGGACAGAGGAGAGAAGACCAGCCCGAAGGATACGTTGGCTGAGCTTAGACGGTGGTGGTTCGATGAGGACGGAAGCAGGAAGCAGAATTATTGAAAGCACGGAAGAGTCTGGGTCACTTTTGTGTCTATCTTTAAAAGAGTCTTATTTTTTCCAATGAAACTTGAGGAATAATATTCATGCCATTCTTTCATGAAATATTAGTATTAGCAATAATAATAATAATAATAATAATAATAATAATAATAATAATAATAATAATAATAATAATAATAATAATAATAATAATAATAATAATGATACTCCATAACACTTTTATGAAATAATTATACATTCATGATTAAAATAAAGATTGTAGTAATCATGACATTATAGTATAGTAAATCTTAGTCATCTTTGTGTGAATAAGTAATATTTTAATAGTATCTTTTACATTAAAAACCCTACTTTTATTACACTAATAATAAAATTGTTAGGCAGAAAATGATAAACTTGTTTTTTGTCAAGAAAATGATAAACTTTAAGAAGCTCCGGCCGTGAGTAACTTTTATGTCATACAAACTTGTGTCCACATTGTTTTGATTAAAACAAGAAATGCACTTACGATTGTAACACTGCAAGGTAAAAAAGGAATGCAGTATTACACACATGTTTACACGTATTTTACTCACTAATTAAGTCTTACTAACACGAAACAAAGAGGAAAAAAACATGGTTGACTCCTTGCCGTTGACGATCAATTTGGTCAACTCCTTAGCAACACAATCAGCTTCTTTCTCTCCATTATTTCTCATTTTCTGGCTCACTTCTTTGGCTGTTTTTCTAACACTCTCTCCCTTCTTCCCCATCACAACACGGTTAATCACGCCAGCGATGCTCTCGGAGCAAAGTCGGCCGTGGTTGTCCCTCACCACCTCCACCCCCACCCCAACCTCTGAGACCAGTCGAGCGTTAATCGGCTGGTCAAGGTGCATTGGTATGGCTATGAAAGGCACGCCGAGCTTCATCCCCTCCATCACCGAGTTCCATCCACAGTGACTCACGAACCCTCCGATGCTCGGGTGCGCAAGGATGTTTGCCTGCGGGGCCCACCCCTCGACAACCATTCCCCTATTCCCGACCCTACTCAAGAAACCGGAAGGCATAGACTCTTCCAAAGTAATGACTTTGTTGCCCTTAGGAAACCTGACAACCCATATGAAGTTAACCATGCTCTTCTCTAGCCCAAGGGCAATCTCGTGGGTGTCTTCCTTTGAAAGGAAATATTCGCTGCCAAACGACACAAAAACGGTTGATCCATTTCCTTTGCCATTCAAGAAAGTAATGAAGGGGTCACTTTCATGGATGACCCCACCGCCGTCTTGAACTAAGGGACCCACAGGGATCACTCTCTTTTCAGTCAACTCAGACAAATACCCAAAGTACTTGTCCTCCGCTTCCTTAAAACCCTTGACCAATACAATATCCGTTGACCGGTCAAAACAAGCCCTAACACATGACTTATCTTTTTTCTCTTGCTCCTCCTCCGAGGGGAAAGGCTTTTGGGCAGCTTTCATCTCATTCACAAGCTCATACCGCCTATAATATATGGATTTGAAGGGGAACGGCGTGCCGGGCCTTTTGTCCATGTGAACCACGTGGGAGAACATGGTGGCGCTGCTGGTGACAAAGAGAACCGCCGGGATGTCGAGCACCGCGGCGGAGGCAGCCGCCCACGGCTGGAGCAAGTCGTAGACGAGCATGTCCGGGCGATGGGTCTCCAAAATGGTGAAGAAGTTGGAGGATGACATGTTGAAAGCTCTCTTGAGTGTGGGCATGAGATGGGGAGGGAGGCCATTGGTGGTGTGGAGCGGCGGAGGGAGGCCCGGGAGGCTCGGAAGGCGGAGCTCAACCAGCCTTATGGCTTTGGCTTCGGGTTCCCGGGCAAGTTTGGGTATGATGGAGGAGAAATTGGCAGATGTGGAGCATAAGATTATGTTAAACCCTCTCCTTATGAGTTTTTTAGATAGCTCCATGAATGGAGAAATATGGCCATGTCCCAACCATGGGAACATTAGAATGCAAGGTTTTTTATCATCATCATTCTTCCACAAGGTCATTTGCTCGCTTAAAACAAATGCTTATGACTGCATATACCCACATGACGA